GCTGACGGCCCGGTGCCCGGTGCCGGTGCCCGGTTCCCGGTGCCGGTGCCGCCGCAGCTCGCTGGCTCTGGCGTACCGCGGGGCGCGGCGCAAGCAGGCGGAGCAGCTGCGGAGGCTCCGGGCGCGGGCGGCGGCGCTGCGGGGCCAGCACGGCCGCAGGGAGCGAGCCCTGGCCCGGACACTGCGGGAGCTGCAGCGCGGGGCGGAGACCTGCATCTAGGGACACGGGAATGCAGGGGACACGGGAATGCAGGGGACATCTGGGAATGCAGGGGACATCTGGGAATCCATGGGGACACGGGAATGGATGGGGACACGGGAATGCACGGGGACACGGGAATGGATGGGGACACGGGAATCCATGGGGACATCTGGAAATCTGTGGGGACATCCGGCAATATATGGGGAAATCTGGGAATACATGGGGAAATTCGGAAATCTGTGGGGAAATCTGAAAATCCATGGGGAAATCTGGAAATATACGGGGAAATCTGGAAATACATGGGGAAATTCAGAAATCTGTGGGGAGACTCGGAAATCTGTGGGGAAATCTGAAAAATCTATGGGGAAATCTGAAAATCCATGGGGAAAATCCATGGGGAAATCTGAAAATCCGTGGGGATACACAGAAATCTATGGGGAAATCTGGAAATCTGTGGGGAGATTTGGAAATCTGTGGGGAGACAAGGAAATCCATGGGGAAACTTGGAAATCCATGGGGAAATCTGGAAATCTATGGGGGAATCTGAAAATCTATGGGGAAAATCCATGGGGAGCCCCGAAAACCCGTGGGGAAATCCAAAAATCTGTGGGGAAACCACAAAAATCACTGGAAGCCCCCAAAAATCGCTGGAGAACACCCAAAAAAAAAAAACCTTGGAAACCCCCCCCCAAAAAACCCTGTAAAACTCCCAAAAAACCCCTGGAGACCCCAGAAAATCCCCAGAGACCCCAAAGCTGCTGGAGAACCCCACAAAGAGCCCCGGGCCGGTTTGTCCCCGGGCCTGGGGACAAAGGCCGCGTCCCCCCCGCGGTGGCCCCGGTCAAAGGTGACAGCGGTGGCACATCCATATTCAGGAGGGGACACAGCGGTGACCCCGAGCTGCGGGGCCGGGGTGGGGTGGGCTCAGCCAGGCGGGAATTCCCACGGGATTGGGATCACGGGGGCGCGCGCTGGGGTGGGGAAACTGAGGCACGGGGGTGGGAGGGGATCTGTGGGGTGGGATTTATGGGGTGGGATGGGATTGATGGGATTGATGGGATCCAGGGGGTGGGATTTATGGGATGGGATTTATGGGGTGGGATCCATAGGAAGGGATTTATGGGATTGGATTTATAGGGTGGGATTTATGGGATGGGATCCATTGGACAGGATTGATGGGATGGGATGGGAACCATGGGATGGGATTTGTGGGGTAGGATTTACGGGATGGGATCCATGGGATTGGAATAAAATTGGGATGGGGGATTTGAGTTGGGGGATTTGGGATGGGGGGTTTGGGAATGAGGGATTTGGGATGCAGGGACAATTCAGGATGCAGGGATTTAGGAACACGGGGATTGAGGGACATGGGGACAGGGCAGGACATGGGGACAGTTCAGGGATAATTCCAGGCGCCACCTCCAACCCCAAATCGGGGTCACCTCAAGGTCTGGATCCCTCCCGGGCCACCGAGCGCCACCGGGGCGGTGCCACCGCGGCCACCGGTGCCACCGGGCCCGTCCCCCCTGTCCGGTGTCCGTGTCCCTGTCTGGTGTCTGTCCGGTGTCCGTGTCTGTGTCTGGTGTCTGTCCGTGTCCATGCCCATGCCCATGTTGTGTCCATGTCCATGTCCATGTCCAGTGTCTGACCATGTCCCTGTCCGGTGTCTGTCCATGTCCCTGTCCGGTGTCTGTCCGTGTCCATGTCCATGTCCAGTGTCTGACCATGTCCGTGTCTGGTGTCTGTCTGTGTCCGTGTCCATGCCCATGTCATGTCCATGTCCCTGTCCAGTGTCTGTCCATGTTCGGTGTCTGTCTGTGTCCGTGTCCGGTCTCTGTCTGTGTCCAGTGTCTGTCCGTGTCCATATCCAGTGTCTGTCCATGTCCCTGTCCGGTGTCTGTCCGTGTCCGTGTCTGGTGTCTGTCTGTGTCCATGTCCATGCCCATGTCATGTCCATGTCCCTGTCCAGTGTCTGTCCATGTCAGTGTCTGTCCGTGTCCCTGTCCGGTGTCTGTCTGTGTCCAGTGTCTGTCCGTGTCCATATCCAGTGTCTGTCCGTGTTCGGTGTCTGGTGTTCATGTCAGTGTCTGTCCGGTGTCCGGTGTCCCTGGCCATGTCCCGTGTCCGTGTCCGGGGGTCCCGCTGCCCCCAGGGTCAGAGGTCAGGGCTCCGGGCTCGGCCCCTTTTGAGATTCAAATTCTCTTTGTGCGGGGCCAGGCCCCGTGACAGGCGGGGACAGCGGGGCCACCTCGGGGCTGGGGACAGCGGGGGACACGGCAGGTGGCATTGGGGACAGGGCAGGTGGCAGAGGGGACAGGGCAGGTGGCACAGGGGATACAGGGCAGGTGGCATTGGGGACACAGGGAAGGTGGCACAGGGGACACACAGCAGGTGGCACAGGGGACACACGGCAGGTGGCAGAGGGGACACAGGGAAGGTGGCAGAGGGGACACAAGGCAGGTGGCACAGGGGACACACGGCAGGTGGCATTGGGGACACACGGCAGGTGGCACAGGGGACAGACAGCAGGTGGCATTGGGGACACGGCAGGGGGCAATCCCGATCCAATCCCAGTCCGATCCCAGTCCAATCCCAGTCCAATCCCAGTCCAATCCCGATCCAATCCCGATCCAATCCCAGCCCAATCCCGATTCAATCCCAGCCCAATCCCAGTCCAGTCCCAAATCCACAGTGGGGATCCCCAGGCGATTTCACCCACTGAAAAAAATCCAGGATCATTTTTAGGATCTTTCCCTGACCCCCCAAGGCCGGGTCTGTCTGTTAGGAAGGATCTGGGATCATTTCTGGGATCTTTTCCTGCTTTTCCACCATCCCCAACCCCATCCCCATCCCCCACAAACCCCAAACCACCCCAAAACCCCCAGAGCCGTCGCCGACCCCAAAAAGGAGCCGGGAAAAACCTCGGAGCCTTCCCGGGGCCCTTTTGTGGGGTGGGAGCAGCGCGAGGAAGAGGGGTGGGAATGGGAATTATTTGGGAATTCGGGAATTTGGGAGCTGGAATTTCTCTGGGGGCGTGGGAATGGGAATTACTCAGAAATTCAGGAATTCGGGAAGGGTGGGAATGGGAATTATTGGGGAATTTGGGAGCTGGAATTCCTCCAGAGATCAAAAGTCAAAACAAACCCGGATCCATTTTCCGCCTTTGTTCCTGGAACGTTCTTTTGGGGTTTCCTTGGGGTTTGGGTTGGGTTTTTTCCCGGGGAATCCGAGGCCATAAATCCCAACCTGGCACGGGATTGGGATCCCCCAAAAGCCGGCCCCGTTCCCAGTGGATTTTCCAGGGGTTGTCCCATGATTTGGGGAATTGGGATCCTTTAAGGGCACCCTAAATCCAGGGAATTGGGGCACCCCACTCTTGGGGACATTGTGGGGACAGGGGGACTCTTGACCCCAAAATCCGGCCCCATTTCCAATGGATTTTCCAGGGTTATCCCACAATCTGGGGGTTTTTAGGATCAAATCCAAGGAATTTGGGGTTTAGTTCCATTTATGGCCATCCCCACCACACCCCAATTCCAGGCTCAGCTTCGCTTTCCCCTTAATCCCGACCCCGAACACGGATCAGGAACTCCAAGGCCGATCCCAACCTGGCACCTCGGGGACACCGCCAGCATTTTAGGGTCACTTTGGGGACTTTGCCCCCGCGCCCGGGGCAGGGCGGGGTGCCGGGGTCAGGCACCTTTTCCCGCTGGGATTATCCCGATTAATTAGCCCGGGTTAATGATTCCCAGGAATCCCAGCACCCACTGGGAGCGCTCCTGGACGGGTCCGACGGGTCCGACCGCATTGCAGCCGCCTTTGTGGGGCCGCGGGGGCCTTTGGGGCCGCGGGGACTTTATGGGGCTGCGGGGACTTTGTGGGGTCTCAGGACATTATGGGGTCACGGGACTTTTCTGGGTTTCAGGACCTTTTGGAGTCTCAGGACTTTTTGGGGTCTCCTGACTTTATGGGGCCATGGAACTTTTTGGGGTCTCAGGAATTTATGGGGTCTCAGGACTTTGTGGGGCCATGGGACTTTATAGGGTCTCAGGACTTTATGGGGTCATAGGACATTTTGGGGTCTCAGCACTTTATGGGGTCACTGGACTTTATGAGGCCTTTTTGAGGTCTCAGGACTTTATGGGACCATGGGACTTTTTGAGGTCTCAGGAATTTATGGGGGTCACAGGACTTTTTGGGGCTGTGAGATTTTATGGGGCCGCAGGGACCTTTTGGGGCCATGGGGACTTTACGGGGTCATGGCAGTTTTTGGGGCCTCAGGACTTTATAAAGCCTCAGGACTTTATGGGGTTACGGGGCTTTATGGGGCCACAGGATTTTTTCCTGGTACAATGTGGGGCTCCCAGTACAACGCCAGGCTGCTCCCAGTTTGATGCTGGGATCCCAGCTCGATCCCAGTTTGACCCAGATTCCCAGTGATCCCAGTTTGATCCCGGATTCCCAGTTCCGTGCTGGGATCCCGGTGCCACGTGGGGCTCCTGTCCCAGTGCCAGGTTCCTGTCCCAGTGTGGGGCTCCCAGTTTGATCCTGGGATCCCAGTCTGATCTTGGGATCCCAGTGCCAGACTCCCAGTCCAGTCCTGGGTTCCCAGCCCCATCCCGGTTTCCCAGTCCAATCCCAGTTTCCCAGTCTGATCCCGGTTTCCCCGTTTGATCCCAGTTTCCCAGCCCCATCCCGATTTCCCGGTCCCATCCTGGTTTCCCAGTCTGATCCCCGTTTCCCGGTCCCATCCCGGTGTCCCAGGCCCATCCCGGTTTCCCAGTCTGATCTCGGTTTCCCAGTTTGATCCCCGTTTCCCAGCCCCATCCCGGTGTCCCAGCGCTCCCGGTGCCGGCCGAGCCCCGGGGGTGCCCGAACCGCCGCGGGGGCCCGGGAGGGGCCCCGGCCGCCGCCTCCGGTGCCCGAACCGCGCTCTCCATCCCCGCTCCTGCCGGCCCCGGTGGCCCCGGCGGCCCCGCTGGTCCCGGTGGCCCCGCCGGTCCCCGTGGCCGTTCCCGA